TTTTTAAAGCCACGCAACGCGTGGACAATTCCTAGTATATTAAAAGAGAAGCATTTGGAGACCATTTTTGCTGATGTGTCAACACCAAATTTTTTAACATCTTTTTTTAAATAATTTAAATTCTCTAACTACTTACTCCTACTATTCTTCTAGCCAAACATCCTTTTAGCCAAACACTCCTACTATTCTACTAGCCAAACATAATTATAATTATTATTCCTATTAAATTCAAATCCGAAAGTGTTAATGTTATATACAAAATTAATTTCAGAATATCCAATATTATCATATCCGAATTCAACACCAAATTTAACTTCAAAAATGCAATAATATCATATCCAAATATCCAATATTAACTTCAAAAATCCATTTTGGCTAATTGAAATATAAACTAATTTCAATATAACGTATAAACTTATTTTGGATAATTAAAAATTCTTCTTTTAATTTCCAATCGAACTAATGCATTTCACTCAGGTTTCAAGATCAAAATAATTACTCCGCTAACTATATCAAATTACCATGTTCTACACTATCTCATAAAATTAGAAAGGTACCCTGAGAGGCCGTTGCATACATCTACTGCTATTGATCCGACTAGCAGTTAAATCAGCTTTGATAATTAAGATTGTTTCAACCAGTTTCTCATACAAACCAACCCTGTCGAAATATTATCAATTAGTTATAGTTATGTTGATCTTGGTGCTAGCTCTTCTACATATGACTAAAATCACACCCTGTGCTATATCAACGCTTAAAGAATAATAATTAACATAATCATTCACGTTTCTAAACAGATTTTATTTAGGTATAGTACATTACTTATTTGAGGCGGCATAAAGGAACAAAATCATATAACTAATCTGTTAAGGTAACAATAATAACTAACAAAATCATTCACGATTACTTATTTGTTATTCTGTATATTCTGCGAATATTTACTCTATATTTTTATAACAATATCAGTCCATTATTAGCTTATATAAGAGCAGTGACGTATTTTGGTGCTTATACATTGATATTACCAATGTGTTGATACTCAATTTCGATAGTATATTTATTAAACAGTAAAAATGCTCGAAAATCCTCGTTTATTGATATTATGCTCGGAAATGGATTACGAGGACACCGGAACAAGAAAAGTAAAGGATGTTGAGCTCGGAAGCTTAGTAGATTAACGAACCTCGTATAAACGAACTGACTGAGTAACGAGCTCCTGAGGTTGGGAACTAGCGAGTATCATGAGGTCAAGCCTAAGCGAGAAGTATTATGAGATCGATGATAAGCGCGTATAAAAATCACTCTCTCTGATAAATTCTCGTACGATTCCGGCGGAATGTACGAACATAATTTATCCTCTCTTAGATTAGTTAGAGTCCAGAAAACAGTTAGTTCTCTAGTCCCTTGTACTACTCCAAAAGAGGAAAAGTGATAGGACAACTCAAGGAGAGGGGTTCTCCTTTTATACTAGAATGAGGAAGTACATTTATGTAGGGTTTTCTTGGAAACTACGCTGGATTTTTAACTCTGCCGAGCCGAGCTCGGCGATGGGCTTCATAATTTGTCAATTATGAGGCCCATGCCCAACAGTACCCACCCCAGTCGACGAGCGCGTTAGTTGGTGGGCTCGTCGATGTGGTTTGGAGGCCCATCATCTGTTTGCTTCTGATTGCTTTCTTCTATTTGCTTTCTCGCTCTCCCTGGATAAAGGTAATCCTCTCTCTAACTTCTCTCTAGGTTTTTCTGCTCGGCTTCGGATTTCCCGGCTAGATTTTTGAGTTCCCCTGGTCGGTTTTTCTTCTTCCCCAAGTCTGTTTTCTGAGTCTCTGTCTCTTCCTCATGTCTTCTAATTCGAACGATCGTCAAGAGTCTGATTCGGTTGACTCCGGCAGTTCTCCCAACCTTGAATACTCCCCTCCGCGGGGCGACGAATCTCCCGAGTCTTCTTCTTCTGACCCTGAGCCGTTGATTCAGAAGAACCAGCGAGATCCGACCGCTAACCAGGGCGAAATTGCTTCAAGCTCGGATCGACCTTCTTTGACGAGCTCACACGCTGTGCCGAGCTCACTTTCTTCCCTTAGCGTGGTTCTTCCCTCGGCGAGACATGGCGCTGGCAAGAGTTTGGCTCTCAGGCTTAGCTCGCCTGATACCGGATACCAGACCTCCCAGTTTGAGCTGGATAATCTTGGTGACAACGGTCGTCACCCAGGTCCTGAGCTCGCCTCTGATATTGTTCTGAGCGTCATGATGATGAGGGGACGAAATCCACTGTGGACACGCTCAATAACCTTCAGAAAGGGCACCTTCCTTCTTCCAAAGAGCAGCGACCGACCATGGAATCCTCCTCCGGGGTACATGTGCTTGTACGAGTCCTTTATCTATGAAGGTGGGCTCTGGTTCTCTCTTCCAAGGCTTTTGGTCGAATACTGTGCTCGGAGGAAGATTGCGATGTCTCAACTGATGATCGCGTCCATCCGTAATCTGGTCGGGCTGGTAGTAATGGCGGCCGAACTTGGTCGCAAACTCTGCTACGATGCCCTCGAGGATCTGACGAAGATGTCTTGAAAAACGGCGAAGGGAGGCTGTTTCTATCTCAATATGAAGAAATCTCTCATCGAGTGCTCCAAAGGCAACAAAACTGCCGACAGAGAGACTCGCTATTTTTTCGTGAAGATCGGCCGGGCTTTGGTCGGGAATCTGGACTGGGAAATCCGAGCCGGATGGAACACCAAGATCGGTATTCATTTTTCCCTTGTGTTTTTCTTGGATTGATCGGCACTGACGCCTGATCTATTTTCTTTATTTTGTAGTTCGACATTGTGGGCTTCGTCGTTTTGCGAAAGGATTTACCGAACTGAGGGACAGGTTGCTTTCGTCTGGACCTCAGTGGTGGCCAGATTTCTTGAGCCAACGAATCCGTCGTGCTCTTCCTCGCATCCAGTCGGGTAAGTTTTTCTTTCTTTCCTCGCTTCACTTTGACTATGTCTTGTGATATTTACCTAAAGTTTGTGTTTGTCGTTTCAGG